GCAGGGAGGATCTGTAGCTTAATTGGAGGGTGCCTGTTTCATGCAGGTCTCAGGCATCTGCCGGTAAGACTGAAAAAGAGCTCTCTTGATTCCCTGGAGAACTGCTGCCTATCAGTGTAGGCGATATAACACTAGTCGAGCTGAAAATCCAATTCAGGGTAACATGCGACCCCAAGCACTAAACCAGAAGTCAGTCTGTTTGGTTTCGGTTTAGGGCAACATCTGAAGCCAGCCGTTCCATTTTGTAAACCGTGCCTCGGGGTTTAGCATTGGATGAAGCAGGCCACTATGGCTTGTTCCACAGCTCTGAGTTAAAACAAACCATGGTTTATACCCGGGCAGTGAACAGCTGTTTTCTAATCTTCTATAACCATGGTTAGCAAGGAGCATTTTTAGGTCTGCTTCTTTATGGGGGTGGGGGGAGCTCCTAATATGTACAGTGAGGTGCTTAACAATGCTTTGGGTGTAATTCTTTGGGTGTCCAGCAGAACTCTTTTCTTTCAAAATGCATCAGCTGAAAACAACAACGAGAGAATAGAACAAATGATTCTGTATTATCCAGCAATGCAGAACTAGTTTCTCTCTCTCTGAGTGTCTTAACGCCGTTTATGGAATAATAGCAACTGACGATTGGCATGAAGAATATTCTACCGTGGGAAAAAAAGGGGCTTTCAAAGGGGATGGTATTTGAGAAGATGGAGCTGACTCCAAACATATATTTTTTAAAATTAAATTGGGCAATCAATATTCCTAAATGCAATATTTATTCTCCATAAAAAGGGGCAGGATGTTTGTTGGAACTAGACTAGGTGTGGGTCTGATCCCTGTGCTATATGTTTACCGTGCTATATTATTTTTATCATTTTCCTGCGTTAGATGTTTTTCATTCCTTGTTAACCACGCGGAGTTGCTAGGCGAGCAGGCGGCCATAGAAATTGATTTGAACGGACGATCAAATAAATAAATAAACAGATAGAACGACAACTCTTTGTGTAGAATTTCAATGGGTATGTTTTTAAAGCGAGGGCTATGCAAAACATTTTTTTCAAAGCCTGCATTTTTTCCCCCTACCGGTTCTCATTCAGTTCCATGAGCAGGAATTGGTATTTAAAATTTATTCCAAAGATGGAAAATGTCAGTTGCATTTATACAGTGACGTGTATTACAAGATGGCCACGTGGCCTTGCCTCTTCCCTAGTTTTTCAAATAGCAGCTAAATCCCATGGGAAGAATTTCCATTGCACTTTGATTAGAATGGGTATATTGGCAGCAACGGGAGTTTGAGAGCAATATCACAATCTCCATCACACACTCCATCACAACAATCAAATGTATTCCAAACCATTGCCAAGAGAAATTCAACAGAACTTCTTGAGCAACCTCAGAACCAGGGAGAAACCCAAAGGTCTCCCACCCCACCACAGACGAAAAATTTTAAAAAGGGACAATTATTCTGCCAAGCAAGGCATTGAACGATTAGTAGGGTTGCAACGTTACACTGATTCACCAAGAAAAATAACTTGATTAAAATGTTTGTTCCACTAACAAAATGCTCTCAGTCAACCTGACAGATTAGATCAGTGTTTCTCAACCTTAGCAACTTTAAGATAGGTGGACTTCAACTCCCAGAATCCCCCAG